TGTGATGGTTCAATGGTTAAATTCTCACCTTGCAAGCGCCAGGATCCCGTATAGACAGTGATTCTTGTCCTGGTTGCTCCACTTCCCATTCAACTCCCTCCTTATTGCCTGGGAAAGCATTCGAGGATGGTCTAAGTCCTGCACCCATATGGGAGACCTGAAAGAAGCTCCTGAATTCTGGCTTCAGATCAGCTCAGGTCCGGCCATTGCAGTTTTGGGGGAGTGAACCAGCAGATGGAAGATCTTTGTCTCTCCTGTAGCTCCTAGCTACTAGCTTCTGTCAGGTCTAGTACTGGCTGTTAGCACTATCTGGGGAATAAACCAGCAAATCAAAGTTAGATCTGTCTCTCTCTCTCTCTCTATAACTATGACTTTGAAATAAATAAATCTTTGAAAACAGATAAGTATAAATAGGGACTGGCATCATAGCTGAGTATAGTAAACCTCCATCTGTAGTGCTGGCACCTCATATGCAGTTCTAGTCCCAGCTGCTCCACTTCCCATCCACCTCCCTGCGTATGGCCTAGGAAAGCAGTAAAAGATGGCTCAAGTTCTTGGGCTCCAACACACCCTGAAAAAACCCCAGGCTCCTTGATTCAGATTGGCCCAGCTCCAGTTATTGCAACTATTTGGGGGTGAAACAACAGATGGAAGACCTCTTTGTCTCCTTTCTGTAACTGCTTCTCAACTAAAAATAAAATCTTAAATAAGTATAAATAAGTAAAATTGCCTCAAATTTTATTTTAAATATTTGTTCATATTTCACTTAAAGCGTAAATACAATTACTCATACTAACTAATAAAGAGAATAAATACAGGATTTATAAGGCTTGCTAGCAAAGATAAATATGGGTAGATTTCAAGGTGGAGTGACCGTATTTGTATCTTGTTATTGCTGGCATACATAATGAAGATTAAGAATTTAAAGAAGCCAGGGAGAATATTGTTTGGCATCATACTTGTAGTTGAGTTGATCTTTAGAAAGGAGGTATGGAATAAATAGTGGGTTTGAAAAGATGCTGAGAAACTATACATGCAGGAAAGAATTCTTGTTAACAAGTAGAAATTTTAGAAACCCCAATGTGCATACCAAAACTTTTTTAGTTCTTAAGTGTCTCATTTAATCAGCATTAATTGATACCTGAAGGTGTTCATCAATGTGCTAAAGAGGGGGATACAAATGAAATATATGGCAGCTGTGACATTTTATATTTGTATTGGGTAACCAAGATCTAATAGACTAAGGAATATTACAATTTTTAAAGGCTCTTTGCAGGCAGGAAGTGTATCTGTTTTCTGGTCACTCCATGTATCTGCTGTAGACTCTCAACAAAGCTCTCTGTCAAATTGCCATTTGTAGCAATTTACCAAATCATAAAATATTGAAAGGTGTGTGGTATGGTCTCAGCAGTGAGCAACAGGAGAGCTGAGTGAGCATGGCAACCCATGCAGCGGAAGTGGATCCTGCTTGCAAGTGAGAGTGGTGAGAGCAGAGTCACAGTGCCAGCAGTACACTCACCTTAGGCGTTAAGACTGAAGGCAGCCGTCTGTGTAAGACAGTGCCCCAGCTGAGGCAATCTGAGATGGAGATGAGCTTATCTGTGTATTGGAACTATATTTTGGAGAGTGTATGAAGAGTTCAGTCTTAATCCACATTACGGTTTTGTTTTGAGTTCTTTTGAGAAAAATGATTTTTAAAAACTTGCAACTGTTGATTTAATCACACACTGTTAAGGAAAGATTTCCAAAGAAAGAAATCAGACTGGTTGGTTTTATCCTCTTTAAAGACACTGAAAATAAGATTTTGAGAGTTATGAACCTTTTGAATATGCCTGTGTGCATGCATAGATGTATAAACATTTCATTCAGTTTCAGAGGAATGTGGAACGTTCCTACCTTTTGAAGCTCATTCTTAGAGTCCTAATTAAAACTTGATGCAGAAACAAGGAGACCAGTTAAAAGGTATTATGATAGATTGAAGAATCTAAATTTAAAAGTGTAAAGAATTTAAAGTAAAATATATTCCAAGTGTATTTTAAAGAAAAATCCTTAGGACAAGTTAAATATGAAGAAGCTCTTTAGTATTTTTATGTTAAGGAGCATGAACAAATGAAAGATGATGTTATCTGTAGTCAGTGGAGATTCAGTGGTGTAGCATAGAGTTATTGATCTTTCATGTCTATATAATTAGGGATTCTTGCTGATTTTCATTGGCTATTCACCATGTACAATAATGGCAAAAGGAAAGAAATAGGGCTATTGGAAATGGCATAGTGTAGATTTTGCCTGGTACATTATATATATATTTTTTTAATATTTATTTATTTGGAAGGTGATGTAGAAGAGAGTTTGCATCTACTGGTTCACTTCCGGAATGACTGCAATGGCTGAAGCTGGTCCAAGCTGTTAGGTGACAGTGGGCCTACCTTCATGGATCATCCTCTGCTGCTTTCCCAAGCATTAGCAAAAAACCAGATTGGAAGTTGAACAGCCAGACTCAAACTGGCACTCCTAAGATGCTGGCTTAACCCAGTGTTCCACAGTACTGGCCCTGGCAAAATTATGTTTTAAAAAGTTAAACATTAACAATCAAGTGTATTTGTTGGCACATTATTTTAGCAATTTATGCATTCTCTTTTTCAGGTTTTAGGGCCATCTTGGCTGAACCTAAGAATAAAGCATCTGAGTCCTCAGAACAAGATTATTACAATAATATGAGGCAAGAGGCTTTGGGACACGAACCTAGAGTAAATATGTTTTCATTTGGTAAGTGAGCTATCTTTACTTTAACTCTATATGTAGCGTCTCAATTTCTTAAAATATTCTTTCATTATCAGATTATAAATCACTTAATAAAAATCTTAAACGTACTTCTTTTTTCCTAAAACTTGGTCATGGCTCCTAAAGTCTCAAATGTATAGCACTTAATTTTTCAATTACAGTTTCCTTCGGTTATGTGTTACCTACATATAAAATTCTGTTACTGGTACTTTCCACTGTAAGCATCCTTCTGTATGGCTGACTAAAAAAGTACAGAAGACAGGTATTCTTTTAGCTTCAGTTCCAAAATTTTGCCCCCAGACCGCTGCTGCTTTAAAATTATGGCTACAGGGAGGAGAAAGATGGCAAAAATATAAGCTAGAAAAAGAAAAAAATGAGTGATGAAAAGAAAGTCTACAACTTAGGAAATTAGGACAGAGACCTGCAGGTACACTACGTGTCCCGGTTTTCACTCTTTCATGCTAAACATACTCCTATGAAAATAGTCTCTGTGTTTGTGCATTGAAGGCAGGGAGTGGAAGAATTCTGTTTTCTTGTCATTAGTCTCTCTGGTAAGTGCTGATGCCCAAATACATAGTGCGGGGCCTTTCTTTGATGCAGTGGACTTTTTAGTGTAGTATTTGAAATTATAGGAAGTAGAATTCCTAAGTGCTAAGAAATTTGAAGATTTGCTTTTTTTTTTTTTTGGAGAACAACCATCGGAATTTTCAGGTTTTGACAAGAACGACAACAGAGGCCAGGAGGCTATCTCTAAACGCTTGTCAGTTGTGTCAAGAGTTCCTTTCACTGAGGAACAGCTTTTCAGCCTCTTCGACATAGTGCCTGGATTGGAGTACTGTGAAGTTCAACGAGATCCTTATTCGAATTATGGTAAAGTAACATCTACATTGTCATTCAGTATTTCTCCAGTGAAATGTCAGATACTGTTTATGTGACAGTTTTATTTCCCTTTTCTTTGCTTTCAGCTTTAAAGCTCAGTGATACCTTAACAACAAAAACACCTTAGTGTAATACATGTTTTATATAGAGCCATTCTCTTTAAGAAAATATTTTTAATTTCCATAAAATAGTACATTTTCTATTTATATATATACAACAGAAATACCGCAGGATAGCATCTGTGTGTTTATTGACTCATGCTAAATAAAGGTATAAAAAATTTCCTCTTGAGTCATCTCTTCTTTTACTTCTTAAACTTTATGGCCCTAGATGAAATGTGTTCCCTCATTTCAAGAATTTCATCGCTATACTTCTCCCTATTCTCAGTAGTAGCAAAGCTGTAGTATCAGGTATTTGAAATAGAGCTTAAGTGAAATTAAAAAAAAATGTTTATTTGACAGACAGAAAGAGACACACATAAACACACACAGAATGATCTTCTGTTTACTGGTATGTTCCCCTAATGCCTACAATACATGGAGCTGAGTAGGCTGAAGCCAAGAGCCAGGAACCAATCCAGCTCTCTTCCATGTGGGTGTGAATAGCAGTTAAGCCCAATCAGTTAAGCCATTGCCTGATGCTATTAGCAGGAAGTTGAAGTTTCGAAAGGAACCAGGATCCAAACCCAGATGCCCACAGATTTTGATTTTTATTAAGATGTTTTGTTCAAGGAAGCATCATAGAAATAGCATAATAGAACATTTTTGGCATTCCATTTTGCGTTAGACTCAGGTGGTGGCATGTAGCTTAAAGACCTTGGCAGCTTATTCTTTTTGTACCTCTCTCCTCATTCCTGAAATGGGATTGTTAATATCTTAATTGCTAGAATTAGATGAAAATTAGAAATAATATAAGTAGAATACCTAATGTGAGGCCTAGCACACAATAGACACTCATTAAATCCAGGTTGTTTGGTTCTTTTTTTCATTGTTTTATTGAAGAATTGGAATGAAACAGTGCTGTGAAGAAATCATGCATGGGATCTATTCCAGTGCTATAGGTACACCACATGATTTAGTTCTTTTAGGGTTCCTGCTACTTGTGACACCCCGCCTCCCATAATGAAGTGCTGGTTCAAGTCTTGATTCCTCCACTCTCCATCAGGTTTCTGTTCATGCATCCTGTGCAGCTGCTGATGGCACATGATGGTATTTCAACCCCTGCCTGTCCTGGGGATCAAGTGTAGCGCTCTTGGCTTTTGCCTGGCTTAGCCCCTTGATGTCAGTGACATTTGGAAAGTAAACTAGCAAATGGAATATCTTGCTTTGCTTTTCAATTCAATGAAAAAATGGTTTTAATTTTTCAGAGTTTGTTAGAACATATACTATTGCTCCATTTTCCTTAAAATTTAGCATTCATGTTTTTGTCAATCTAATTTATGATTAGCTTTCTAGGAAGATAGCATTTTATACATGTATAGTAAGTAGATCTTTGTTTTTTGATGCATTTGGTTTTACAAACACTAGTTATATTGAGGTTCTATATTGCTTTATTTTTGAGGCATTCAATCTGATTTATGCTTTGTTTCTGTATATTTTAGGGCATGGAGTGGTTCAATACTTTAATGTAGCATCAGCAATTTATGCAAAATATAAGTTACATGGGTTTCAGTATCCTCCTGGGAATCGGATAGGCGTTTCCTTTATCGATGATGGGAGTAATGCAACAGAGTAAGTACCATTCCACGAGTGTCTAATGCCAAGCTTTGGGTGTACTTGATTATGACTTGAAGAATAAAAATAGAAAAGTAGTTGACCTCTTGGGTGATATCACACAACACCAATTACTCTTAAGAGACCACATATTGCTACTTTTTCTGTAAATTATCAGTTATTGTCTCCAGTCTCCTTAGAAAAATGGCAACCCAGATGGTAGCTGCCCAACTTGCATCAGTGGTGTGGAACAACCCAAGTCAGCAGCAATTTCTGGTAAGTAGGTAAGGAGCTAGCCTGTATATTGCATCTTACAAGTAGTTTGTAGTGTGTGGGTCTTTGTTTATTACCTATGTAAGAACTGCTTCAGATCCATAGATGACTACATAGATGCTACTAGACACATCTGTCTTCAACTCTTGTCTAAATTCCTAACTTACAGTTTCTCTTTTCTTGTTTGTTGCTACCAATTCAACAGCAATTTGGAGGAAGTTCTGGATCACAGTTGCCTCAAATCCAGACAGACGTTGTACTTCCATCATGCAAAAAAAAGGCTCCCCCTGAAACTCCTGTGAAAGAAAGACTTTTTATCGTATTTAATCCTCACCCTTTACCTTTAGATGTATTAGAGGATATATTCTGGTAAGATTTCTGTTTTATAAAATTGTGATTTTTAATAAAATTTAAGCTAGTAATTCAAACAGTTTCATAATTATGAAAATCCCTACTCAAAACTGATCAGAGATGGTCTGTTTTGTGCTACTAAAAACTATATATATTCACATATATATAATTTTTATATGTGTAATATATAATGTAATATTATGCATTGAAAATATTGTATGTAATATATTGTATCATATGTTATATATAATCTTTTGTAATACTTTTTTTCAATGTATAATCATTACCTTATCTTTGTCAGTCACATATCCGAAATATCTACATAGAATTTCTAGTTATTTTGTTTTGAATTCATAAAGCATGTTTGATTGTTTTTGCAAGGTTGCAGGCATAAAATGGAGTAATTGTCCATTAGTAGGTAATACATCTGCACAGACCTCTCCACTAGAATTCTTTTCACCTATCTGTGATTCTACTGAGCAGCATTTACTGTCTCCCATTTTGTCTGTGCTCTTTTGGGCCCTTAAAAGGCATACAGTCATGTTTGGTAGGCAGTTGCTCAATGAATAACGAGAAGGTTCTTCTTTATTTTGTATTTTTAATGTTACTCCATAGTTTTTCTTTTTGTTTTGTTATATTTGCTTTATAAGAATATTTGAGAATTAAACTAGTACATAGGAAGCTTATTAGAGAGCCATACAAAATATCAGGTGTGTGGTTCAGCAGTTTTGTCCTTTATGTATTAATTAATCTTGTTTGTTTCTTGAATTGCTCCTTTGTGCCAGCATAGGCTGTGCTAAGTGCTGGAGACTGTTTAAACAAGATTGTAGTAATATGAATAAGGCATTATAGTCCTAGTCCTCTTATCTAATTTCTTGTGGGAGAAAGACAAATAAATAGGAAATTACAACCTCATGAACTTTGTGCTGTAATAAGGAATGTGAAAAATAAACAGCAAACCACCTACTTTAGAAGCTCTGAGTAAGCGTCCTGAAAGAAGCAAAGGCTCGAGACGCAAAGGATAGAAGTAATTTTATCATGAAAAAAAAGCCTGGGGGTGGAATGATGATTTCTCCCAGGGAAACTATGAGATCATTAGTTTATGGACATTGAGGGATTGTGAGTAAAGAGGAAAGACCATGTCAAGAAAAACCTACAACCTTGTACTAAGGACTTGTTCTTTACCCTGTTGGCAAAGGGAGCTACTGGATAGATCTTAGAGACTAAGTCATCATTTCACCGGCTAGACAGGGTAGTGAATGGGTTGGAGAGAGACAAGACTCTTGGGGAATGCCTAAAATTAAGGATACTACTGAATATATATAAAGACTATATATATACAGTTATATCAACCTGTAAAATATAGTTTTATGTATATGTATTCATATGTGTTTATGTTTGTACTTACAATATATACATAGTGGATATGTATCTGTAATAAAGTTTAGCTTTTTTATTAGGCATAGTACAAAATTATCAAGAGAGATAGTAAAATTAAAATAGTACAGTTATAACAGTAACCTAAATAAAATTGCCCAGCATCTTTTTGCTCTCATTTTGGATCCATTATTAAGTAAAGTAAGGGTTACTTGAGTGCAAGCAGTCAGTAAAAACCAAAATAGCTGCTAAGAGACTAATGGCCTATAGGCTGATGATGCACACTGTGGATGGAATAGAGGGTGGTGAGAGATTTCATCACACTAAACAAAGTTGTGTGCAGTGTGAAACTTATTTCTGGGATTTTCCCTTTGATGGTTCTGGAATATGGTTCACTGCAAACATGGAAAAACAAGTCATGTCTCTGAAGGGACGTTTAGAGTAATCTAAGGGGAAGGTGATGATGTTAAGTGAGCAAACAGACCTCAGTGACAATGAAGAAAAATTTAAATGTTTAAATGTGACGTGAATGGGATTTTGCACGTGGAGAGAAGGGTGAAAAAGGAATCCAAAATGAACCTCAAATTTTAGACCTGAACAGTTTGATTTCAGTTGATTCTTTCACTTTGTTTCAGTCGTTTTGGTAACCTGATCGAAGTTTACCTTGTGTCAGGAAAAAATGTGGGGTATGCCAAGTATGCAGATAGAATGAGCGCTAACGACGCCATTGCTACTTTACATGGAAAGATTCTGAATGGAGTCAGACTTAAAGTCATGCTGGCAGATTCCCCCAGAGAAGAATCCAACAAACGGCAAAGAACGTACTGACTCTTGAGGTAAGCATTCCTTAGTCTGCACTTTAAAATATGCTACCTATAAAACATAGCACGATGGATATGCATAGCACTTTAGTATAGACTTTTCTTTTTTGAGGTTTCAAAATTAGTTAAAAGTACTCTGGGTTAAAATTCTACTGATAAAGTCCAGTTGTTTTACAATTTAGGTTTCTAAACTTTTAAAAAAAATTTTTAAAGGTGTTTTTGATACCAGAATTGTTTTGTCCTTCTTTAAAATAAAACCAGATTTCTTTTTAGAAAATTGAAGTTATTTTTGTTTGTAAATATTTTAAATGTTTTGCTTTGAAGAATTAAAATAATTTTAAAGAATTTTTTGACTTCTCACTGATCACATGCCTGAAACTCTGTATCAAATAATGTACCCTTTTTTGAGCCTTTTTCCTAAATGTTGATGTTTTTCTGGACTTGCGTTTGAGCATTTATACATTGAAATACACATTCAGAAAATATTTTTGTGTGTGTATATATGTATTTTTTAAATGTTGACAGCTTACACAAGATGCTCATGTGTTATAAGTACTGATACATGGAGCCCATAAGAACTTTTTTTCTTATTTGCTAGTTTTCAGAGATGAAACTTCAGGCTCTTTTTTTGTGCTGATTAATTTATATCTACACTTTGGTTAGACGGTCTTTGCAGTTAGACCTTTTTATTCTGTAACTGGATTCTGCATTTCGGGGGAAGCTGTTACCGTAATGCTACATTCAGCAGCTTCCCAGCTCTAGTACCGGTCAGATGGTCAGTAGGCGCAAGCCATTTGACTTCAGCCTCAAGTTATTGTCGTTTATCGCAGAAGCTTCTCTGGCTAACTCTTATGTCACTAGCAAGTATCTGACTCTCCTGAGGCCCTATGCTGAGGACCTTTCTCTCCTGGAGCAAGTCAGGCAATTAGTTCCTCCTTTGTAGAACTGTGAGCAGTTGGCAAGGGAAAATTACCCGTGGCTCATTATGAATAATCCTAATTTTAAAATGTTTTAATTCATGACAAAATTGATGCTTGTTACAGCATACATTCTCAGCAGTTTAATCCTAGAAATATTACACTGACAATGAAAAAGAATTAACAAGCAGTTTTTTTTGTACCTGAATAAAACATCAGAAATGAAATTCTCTATATACTATGAAATAACATGCAAAGAATCTATTTATTCTTGCCTGAATATTTCAGTATATAAGAGCAGCATATGAGATTTTAAACGATTCTTTGTCCCTATAAAGGACAGTAATATGGACTTCTTGGTGTGAAAAACTGTTGCTCTTAATGTGGTTAAGCCTTTCCTAATAACTATATGTTAAGATAACACTTAAAATCATAAAATATAGGTTGGATTTCCAGCTCTGGCATTTCTTAAGATTGGGTAGGTTTTCCATCTTCCTGAGGCCCATTTTCTCCTATAGGATTATTGAGAGACAGTGAGTTAACAAAACCTTATAAGATGAAGAAGAAAAACAAAACACTTGCAAGTATGAGCCAAATCTCTTAGCATCTCCTCTAAAATAATGACATCCAAATGATGTGAAAGAAAGTTTAATGGTGCAGAACTCATAGTCAGCTGGTGCAATGAGAATTCACCTTTAAAGTACCTTTTCTTTCCCATTAAAATTGATGGGCTTAAATCAAATGCCTTGTATTAGAGGAATGTATTCTTCAGCATAGCTAGTGATAAAAATATATATCTAGTGTTTTCTTCCTTATTGAACATATTGCACATATTCAGGGCAAAGATAAAATGGGATCACATTTATGGCAGCAAGTTTTGTATTTTGTGTTTTTTTTTTTTTTTTTTTTTTAATTTTTGCTGCAAATTGTCTGTTTATACCTATATACAATGCTCTTCCTTTGTTGCTGCATTAAATATTTTAAGTTTCAATAAAATAATCTGAAAGACTACCAAATTTTATGTGGTGTGTCAGTTGAAGTTGTGGGTTTTTTTGTTTTTGGTGGGAGGGGATACAGTTTTGTGTTTGTTTCTAATTTCAAAGACACAAACCCAACTATGAAGAGTGTTGATAATCTTTCGTCCCTGAGGAGTAAGTCCAGGATTTAAAGTGAGCCTGCCTAAGAAATGGAAAAAAAAAATGTTAGAAAGTCGTTGGATTCTCATTGGAGATGAGTTTGATGCATCAGTGTTTTTCTCTATTTGTGGAAAACAAGAATTTTAATATTTCAGAGCATCTGATATTATATTACTTGAACAGCATTTCCTCTCTAGAAATTCAGTGCCTACTTGCATCATCTTTCTCAGTAAGTGTGGCTTTGTTTTATCTTGGGACATCTCTGTTAACACTGCTGATGTTGAAATAAAGGGTCAATTCCTAATGCTTTAGGAATACTATCTTCAACAGCTGCTTGCTTTCAGGTGATGATTTTCATACTTGTGTTGTGTTCTTTCTACAGAACAGAGACTAAGTATTGACATAACCCTCAGCTGACTGACTGAAAATGTGACTGGACGCACTCCCTGTGGACAGTTGACAGCTTTTTTTCTTTTTCTTTTTTTTTTTTTCAAATACTTGATAGTCTGTTCACAACATTGTTTTGTCTGGGAAGCAGAGGTTGCTCACATGTAATTTTGCGTTCATAAGCCAATGCTGAAACTAATATAGTAGTTTCTGAGAGCAATATGTTGTCATGTGTAGCAGAAATAAAGTTTTCTTAGAACAAGTGTTGTTATGTAGTAGAAATAAAGGTTTTATTGCTTAAATAAATCATGAGTTATTTATGTGAAAGACAAAAAAAATGGAAAATTTCATAGGCAGTGTTTAAAATTTGACAAAATGACATATTTAGTTGATTTTGAGATGCACATATTGGTACCTCAAAGTGGGAAACATCTTGGTATCAATTGTATTCCATAGTGCAATTGAAAGTCTTTTTCGTTCTTAACAAAACGTAAGGATGCTTTAATCAATAAATTGCATCTTAGCTTCAGTAAAATATGAAAATTGATGTGTAGTCTATACTTGCAAATTAACTGTCACAATAAGAGTCAAAAGGTATATCATTAGAAAAATTCTGTTTCTATAATTACCCCCAAAATCTCTTGGTAATTTTTAAAATATCTTATAAAAACAATATTGATAAAAAGCTATTGTTAAAAGTACTTTTTTTAAAATAAAAAAAGGTTATTTATTTATTTGGCAAAAAGAAGCAGAAAGAGGGATGGTCAGTGAATGAGACCAATCTACAATTACAGCAGTTCTTTAAGTGAATGATAGATGTCAAAAAGATAAATCAAGGACTTGGTACCATAAAAACATAAGTATTATAAGTGATATGCAGTTGTGAAAAATATCACCAACTTATCTCATTGTGCATTTCCTGAATTTAACTGAAAAAATGAAAAATTGGATCCATTGAGTATCATAAAGCTTTTCATAGTTGAATATCTCTCGGTCAATAAAATCCTTTTTTCAAGCAATACTTTTAATTTTGGTAAGAAAATTTCTGCGCTTAGCTTTCCTGGTAGGCCTTACAGAAGAGTTAAACCAAGCTTTCTCTGTGAGCTAAATAGCATATTCTTTAGAAATGAGACGCCTAAATGAGGAAAATTGAGGCTCAGTTAGCAACAGATAATTCACTTATCCAAATACTCACTGTACAAATGGTTCAGTTATCTGGTTCTACTGCCCAAATAATGCTTGAATTCCCTGCAAAGTAGTCCTACTAATTACTAGAGCTAAACAATATAAAAGTAAAGCTTTTAGTTGGTTATAGGAAAGGAGCTCCTGGTCACCCTCATTAATTGCATGTTTGCTTAACCCACATGATTTTGATTAAAATCTTCTCTACCATTTTCACCTATTTGAGTGCAAGGTTTTCCACCAGGCTGCATAAAAGTTGAATCTGTCACATGATAGCTATCTTATACCTTCCTGCCCTCCAGATTTTTTGTTCTGATTAAATGGTTGTAGTGTTCGTTTTTCACCTTTTAAGGTCATGCAGCAGTACCAGGAAAAAGGAGTGCTTCTTCGGTGTGTAGTCCCTTAGGTCAGAGCAAGCACAAATGGATTATATTTACATAGCCTTATTCCCTAGAAAAAAAGTCACACACTGACATTGTCTTACATATGTGGATGGAAAGCTCTCCTTAAAACCATGGCCATTGTTTTTACATAGGATTTCAAATAAGAGAAAACATAAAGGTCATCCTTGTTGGACGGAAAGTTTCATTTTGATACCCTAATCCTAATAAATGGATTGCATTATTTCCTCTTCTAGAAACAGTAACTCAAGAACACATGGACCCTGGGAACTGAAGGTATGGTATGACTAGAGGATCAGAAAGGTATACTGAGTTAAAATGTGATGTTGTAGTTCATACAATGACCATAATTTATGTTTATGTAGAAAAGACTCACAGGTAAAATGCAGCACCATTATTTTTAAGATTGCTAGGCCCTGGGGAAATCCATCTGAGTGGTCATCACAGAATAAGTGAGTTTTATCACTCTATGTCAATTGAAGCCAGTGTCTCAGTGTCAAGGTTTAGTTAAAATAACTAACCTGAAGGTTGGTCATAGCTACAACCACGGTGGTACCCAGAGGAGTTTTCTCTGAAATGCTTTAGACGTGAAGGTGGAAGACAGTAGGGACTATTTTAGGGAAGGCATTTGACAGATGTAACTCAGGAATTGTTTGAAAAGCCAAGAACTTTTTTTTCCCCCACAGAAATTAACTTTAGGCTTACCAAAGTGCATACTTAAAAATACTCCTTTAAACCTACAGTCTAAATTCTCCTCAGTTTGTAGGTAAATGGTAGTAGCTAACTGATATTCTTGTTCATTTGTTAATATCATTTTCTAGCATTAGGATAGGCCACAACATTCATTAACGCAAAAATTTTTTTAGATTTTATTTGTTCTTTGTTTTTTTAAACTTCAATTTACTGAAACTGTAATATATAGAAATATGTATTTTTTCCTGTTAATAAAGCCTGTTATGTTTGGTTTTGGCCCAATAAAATAGAATTTATATTCCTGATCCATTAGCAAAAAAGACTTTTGTATGATGGTTGGGGAAAGGTGAAGATTATAATCTGTTACCTGTAGAAAAAATCGGCAGAAATTGCTGAGAACAGTGCACAGGGTAACTTGCTTTGACAATGTCAAGATTGAGTCAACAATCGCAAAGAAGAGAAATGGCATCTGTTTTCTGCTTGATCAATACAAATGTCTACCAGAGTTCAGCTACCATTAGGTACCATCTTGGCTTGATTTTTTTCGCCAGGAATGCCTGAAAGAATTCATCTCCTATCACTTTTACCCTCACTCTGGATACTATAATGAATTCTCATACCCAAACCAGTCTTGTTTTACAGCAGTAATTCGAAGGAAATAATTCACAGAAAATGTGGAAATAGGTCTCCTTTACATATTCATAAAAGATTAGCCATGTGCCTGGAATACCACACTTTCTTGTAATAGCTCACAGTGAATTAGGAATTTATCAGTTTGTTGATATTATTAGCCCTCAAATTTCCAAATTCAGGTTTTACATATTGTGTCTACATTATTTTTTTAGTTTTTTAAAACCCAGAAAGATGATCATTATAATGTAAAAATAAGCCTACAATATTTCTCTACCTGGTTCTACAGAAATACCTATACAGTCATAGAAACGGATGTAAAGATGGTGTAAAGTAGGAAGAATTTCTATTAAATCTAGAAATAAGGGTCCTATGTGGATAAAACTTGTCAGTAAGACAGAGTGGTACCTTAATGTCCCACCTTTTTATACTCCTTATTAACTATAAGAAGGCTGACTATAAGAAGCATTTGGGTCTTCTGCTGTCCCCGGTGCATGAGCAGAGTGCAACCAGGATTTGAACTTTTTTTCCTAAAAAGAGTGCTCATGTATTTCTACATTTCTTTTTTTTTTTAAGATTTATTTTTTATTATTTTTTCTCATTGGAAAGGCGGATATACAGAGAGGAGAGACAGAGAGGAAGATCTTCCGTCCGATGATTCACTCCCCAAGTGAGCGCAACGGGCCGATACTATGCCGATCCGAAGCCAGGAGCCTCTTCGGGGTCTCCCACGCGGGTGCAGGGTCCCAAAGCCTTGGGCCGTCCTCGACTGCTTTCCCAGGCCACAGGCAGGGAGCTGGAAGGGAAGCGGGGCTGCCGGGATTAGAACCGGCGCCCATATGGGATCCCGGGCGTGCAAGGCGAGGACCTTTAACCACATGCGCCACCGCGCCGGGCCCCATATTTCTACATTTCTAAAGCACCACTATATTAAGAAGTCTCCTTATGCAGGAAAACCAAAGCTGGCATCACTTAGGTGGAAAATCATAAAAAAAAATTTCTGCCACTCACTACAGAAGTAGTTGCTGAGTCACATAAGCAGTATATAGGACACAGGAGATCTCTAATTTCTGCACATTAGCTGATTTGGAATATTTCAGGAAGTAGAGGTGGATTGCTTTTTATCCAGCTGCTTTTGTCCTGAAAACTTCAATCTCACTGCAAGGAAGTCCCTTTTCCCACTTCAGCTTGACCTTCAAAGGTTTTCCTTGAGAAATGAAAAGGGTTTTAACATTTTTTGACTACCTCTGGTATATTACTTCAATACTTGATCAGAGTCTGATAATTCTGCAATCGGTTTAACTAAATCTAACCTCATTGTATAAACAGGCAAGCGATCTGAACCAATACTTTGTAAAAGAAATCCAGCAAGGGACAACAGTTTGTTTTTCTGCAGAGAATGGGAGAATTGGTTGAGTTCTTCTTGAAAAGACACATGACATTATTCTCTGTTTTATTTTGGCAATTCATACAGTCTAAAAGTATTTCAAACATCTTTAAAATGCAGATCAAGATTGCAATAAAATGCATATTAAAACTTAATTTGGTAAACTGCTAAAATTAAAATATTGGCTACTCAAGTGTGGAGCAATAAAAACTGCTGGTGGGAATCTAAATTGGTTCAAGCACCTTGGAAAATATTTGACGATACCAATGGAGAACCTAGACATATATCCTCAGTTCATCAGTTACTAAGTATGTACTCATCAGAGATGTGGACATATTGCACTAATTTCAAAATATTTCAACAAGGTAAACACCTGATTCAATTTTCCATACTGAAAAAGATAAAAATCTTAGTTTTGCTCACAGTAGCCTCATTGTGCAATCAGTGTCCAGCAACAGGATGTATACAGTGGATGAGAAGATACTGTATCAAGGAAATGAGCTAACTTACACTATACATAGCAACTTATGTAAGTCTCACAAACATAAGGAGCAGAAGGAACCAGGTTACAACAACAGAAATGCTGTATGAACCTCACAGAACTCAAAAATATCTTCAGGCATGAATGGAATGAGAAAGAATCATAAAAGTGATTTATGGTGTCCTGATAATCTTACCTTTCCTGATCAAGATGATAATAACCATATCCTTAGGGTATATACTTTTAATGTTTGTATTTCACTGTTAATAAGATTTTTAGTGAGTGAAGCCAAATTGGCCCAAGGTTAGTTCTGCAGTGTGAAAAAAGAGGTATGTTCCAAGGTGTTCAGAAGAAAGGGCTTGCTTTATTCTTCTATGAATAGCAGTAGATATTAAAAGCTAGCTTGCATTAGTCTGATTTCTTAGGTTTTGAGGAAGGAGATATTTTCCATTTGTGAATTCACTCCTCAAATGGCCACAGTAGCTAGGGTTGGACTAGGCCAAAGCCAGAAACAAACCCATCCAGTTTCCTT